CCACCTAACCGTTAACTTCAAAACATGCTTCGAGCGTTAATTGTCACAAATTGGTCAAACTGGCATTTTTTAAACCCTCATAATTTTAGGAAAAATGATCTCAGGTAGTTATTTCGTTAAATGAGCTCAGGGCAATCATACTTTTTGAATCACAATAAAAATGGAAAATTGTCCGTAATGGCAAGTTAAAAAACCGATCTTTTTGTCGAGAAAATGAAACAACCCGAACATAATTATCTATTGTGACTAGGAAATATAAGAGTAAAATTAAGCATGGTTTTAGACTAAGAAGTTGCACGAAACTATCCAGCCGAAAATAAGACCGTGTACCTTACTCAAAATTACTCTACGAGAAAGCCACCCGGACTTAAACTCATCTTCTGCGACCTAACGAGTTTCCAATAGACCTATACTAATTTAGATTTAGCAAAAACAAGATAGAATGGATCGACAACACTCAACAAAACGATAAACCAAATCAAAAATAACATAAGCTTATTTCAACGTCCCAAAAGTTTTATTGTTTCAATCGAATAATTAGGCTGACACCAGGTCACAACCAGGTCGATAGACCGAATCTCTACAACATGAAACCAAAAATAAGACTAAAACGATTATAAAAAATGCTGTTTTTTTTCAACTATTGAAATCAAAAATGACCGAATGCAAAACCAGCAGATAGTGCAACAGAGCTGATACGTGTTCAAACTTGCTTGCAAAAACCGAGATTCGAAGATAAGATTTCAAAGGGAGATTGCAAAAGTTCAATATCTTCTAGTTTTGGTATAGTTTTTCTTCTGACTGCGTTCAGCAAATAAAGTTGTGCTAAGCTGTTCAACAGTTTTGATCGGTTGAAAAATATTTACCCAATTCAATCTCTCGGACAAACATTGATTATTTATCGGGCCATTTTTAGCAAAACTTTTTTATTCAATTGGAATACAGTAGGATTCTAAGCTCAAATTTAAAATATAAATTTTCACCTGTTCCTTTTTCTTAAAAGTATGGTGGCTAAAGATTGCCATTTTAATCCATCTTAGAAATCGTTCTAAATTGAATTGAGTCGCGGTAACTAGCGTTTGATTTTAATTTTTTGCTATTGGCGAAGCTTATCTTTTTAAAACTTACATAGCGTGTGGGCTATGATTTGTGTTTTCAAAAACAGGTATTAGAAAAAACTGAATTTTTTTTATACTTCGTTCAGCTTTTTCTTTAAACACAAATCCATAGATTTTAAAATAGAGTGGGAATCTTGTTGTTGTTTCATTCAATTTTTGGCAATCGAAATAAAAGTTTTAATTTTTTTCATACCCCATTGATGATATCGACTCCCTGAAACCAAATGTAAAAAGATATTCTTACCTCCGATCAATTCAAGTTCTGAAAATTTGAAAATGCTCATTTTGCAATCCTTTGGACTGATTTATGTGCACCAAACTACTGCTGAAATTGCAATAAACGGGCATTAGTGAAATGAACGTAACCTGTACTAAACTCGTTCGGTGTTTTAAGCACAGCAAAACTTCAAGTCAAGCTTTGAAGCAATGCTTGTTCAAACTTGCTATCGGATCAATTACTAGAAACTTTTTGCTTTGTATAAGCAACAGGATTATGCGTATCAGGGGAAGTCATGATTGTTTTGTCCGCCTGGTAAGGACTATGAAGTAGCATTCGCTGTAAAAGAAATAATAAGTTTCATAAAAACTTCGAAAAACAAAAAAAGTTTTTTTTGTTACTCTTCCTTTGACACGATTTGGTACTTACAAAGTGATATATTCAGCAATAAAAATAAATCAACTTGCATGCTTCAATTCAATTTGGAACGGTTCTTAACACGTAATGCCTAGAAAATTTAACACGTTACAATGCCTAGACAGTCCACCTAACCGTTAACTTCAAAACATGCTTCGAGCGTTAATTGTCACAAATTGGTCAAACTGGCTTTTTTAAACCCTCATAATTTTAGGAAAAATGATCTTAGGTATTTATTTCGTTAAATGAGCTTAGGGCAATCATACTTTTTGAATCACAATAAAAATTAATAATTGTTCATAATGGCAAGTTAAAAAACCGATCTTTGTGTCGAGAAAATGAAACAACCCAAACATAATTATCATGTCCTTCTCTTTGAAAGACGGAACAACAAAATCGACAAGATCTGAAACATTAATCAAAATTATTAGTCAATAACGTCGCTCAAGTTTCCTACGGCCTCACTAAAAGTGCCTCGAAGAAACTATATTTAAATCAGTTTTTTTGTCTTCGCCTACTTTTGGTTACCGCAAAAACAGTCCATATTTAGTTACAAAAAATCCTTGCAGCCGTGGTTTTGTTTCAAAAAATAGTTTAAAATTTCTCAGCTTAGAGAAACATTTATCTTAATTTACCGTTTTCAGATTGTAAGAAATGAGACATACAAATAAACCCTCATTTCTAAAACCTCTATTACACTCATTTTTTTCATAACCTTTACTTTTGATTTTTCCAGCTTAATTCATTTCCTCATTACTTAAAAATTTTGTAATTCAGTAAAATTTCAAAATTTCAGTAAAACACCTTTTTTTTAAAGTTGCTCAGACTTTTGAAATTATTATGATTTTTTTTTCAAAATATTGCGTTCAAAAAGTTTTGCGCTACTTGCGCAGCAATCGATCCTCATGGCTTCAGTATAAAAATAAATTGTCTGTTCTAATAATTATGACTGAGAGCTACATCATTAGCTTCCTCTAAAATTAAATAAAAATGGGATTTTTCATGTCTGAGAGTTTTTTCTCTAGATAGTCTTAAATTTTATGCCAACCTTTTTCCAAAAAAAAAATTTAATGTTCGAAGCGGAAAAATTAAAACATAAATTTTTGACTAAATCATTTTTCTAAGTTAGTGAATTGATTGCGGGATCATTCCCAAAGTGCAGATAATGTATAACGAAAGCGGCTAATCGATCCGATTGAGAAACTGTTCAACCATTAAATATGGCAAATTAATGGATTCATTTTTTTCAAAAAGTCGCGAGTGATATTGAATCTAAAAAAAATTTCATAACGAAAAAATAATAAAAACACATATTGAGCAATCAAAAATGAATAGCTAACTAAAATGTTTTTTTTTGAAATTTTACTTCATTCCGCTCATCATTGTTGGGAATTCTGTTACTGCTGTAATTGAAAATATGTTCTGATTAAAACAACACTGATACGGTCCTGGATCATTTCTGTGTCTGATGCCTTCCTGATGATCAGCTAATGCAGTCACGTGACAAAAAAAATGTTTGACTTTTTTTGCAACTATTTGAGACTGCAAGACTAAAAAACTGAACATTCGTTGAGGGAACTATGCTAACGGATTCAATTAGATCTAAAATAGAGCAAGGATTGCCGATTGCTGTGCAAGTAGCACAGAATGTTCCGACCACTATAAAAAAAGACATTTTCCAAATTGCGTCGTTTTTTGTTCGTGGTGTTATGAGAAAAAGGGACCAAATATCTTGGTCGTGGTGTTATGAGAAAATTGGACAAAATATCTACATTTTTGTAGTATAATATCTTTGTATCTAAATTTTTGTAGTCTATATTTTAAAAGTATAATAGATTTTGTTTAAAACAAAATTTTTCTTAGAAAAAAAAATCGAAAAAATTATCAAAATTTTGCCGAAATTATTTTTGATTTTTTTTCTAAATTTGTTGCCAAAAAGAAGCTCTCTTAAGACTTCAAAAACGAATTTTCTTGGACTAAAATTAATTTTATGCGGCTAATTTTAATTTTTAAAACTTCTATAAAAAATTATTTTAAGTCTATTTTGTTCTCTTTTTTACAGGAAACTAAAATAAATCTCAAAAACATCAAACCGGTTTTTCTCGACATTGAGAAAACATATAATTTTTTCTGGCAATTAAACACGACTGAAAGGCCTTGTTTGATATGTTATTAAACTCACTCGAGTTTTGTTTGTGGTACCTGATTATGTCAAAAGAAAATTAAATTACATCCAAATACATTGTTTCTCCCCATTTTCAATGCTCGGAATAAAAAGCTGTTTTGTTGGCGATTAGTTTTTTTTCAAGCGACTGGTTTTATGGTTTATCGAAGCCAGGGTTGCAAAACTTGGCAATTAAAAAATTCGCAGTTTTTGGAAACCCTATGATGACGAAATTCAAACTCAAAGCAATTTTTGATAAATTAAAAACTGCTGGCTATCCCTCATGTTTTTTCTGTCAACATGAAAAAATGATATACATTTTTTCAATAATTAAAAGATCTATTCATTATAATCTTTTAATCTCGGTTAATTTTTTGCTGCTGAGTAACTTTGCTGCTCGAAGGCTGAGAAAAAATGAATGAGAGGTCATCATGGACATTTTAAGGCTTTTCTTTTTTGCATACTTTTGAGACCAAACGAGTTACACTTGACCTCTCCTATTTTTAATGACCAAAGAAGAACGACCCTTTTGGGGAAAATAAACTGATGTTCTCATCTTTATGAACTTTCAGCGCGCAACCTATGTTTGTCGAAATTGCTTTTCGGAGAATGATTTTCGAAATGACTTAAACCTTATATTAATTTTCAAGTTAAAAATTTCAGGTCCAAAAAAATTGATGCGGCAATCTTTTTTCACCAAATAATAGTTGATGCCAGTTGAGTTAAGCGGTAAGTTTTCTGAGCCTGTGTTTAATTTCAGTGCTTTTATTCCGTTTACTGTTACTTCACCTGTACCAAAAACTTTACCAAAAAAACTTATACTGTTCGATTATTCTGAATTTTGGCATTAATCGTAATTAACTAATTTTCCTGTCAGTGGTGGGCGGATGGAAAGCCGGTAAACGAGCCGAAAGCAGCTGTACCCTTTCAACCTTAGATGTGATAAAACTATGTTGAAAAAAAAACATTTATTTCTGATTGAAGGAAATTACTACATCCATGAATTTTTAATGAACCTAACACATCAATTTCAAACACAGAAAAACCACAAAAATTATATACAATAAATATCGTCATGCAATGTTATTAGAGGAAAAGCTTAAATCACGTAAAAAATGGCAGTTTGAGAGCATCTTTTTCAGATTTCATTTTTAATGGTTCTTATACTACTCTCTGAATTATTCACCTTTACAGGGGCTAAATAAATCTGATTTTACAACTCAATAGGCGGTAGATAAGGTAAAAAGATTTTTCTATTTCTAACAAAAACACTAAACGATAAACGGATTCCACGGATGTACGAAGCGCCAATCGCTTGGCCTAGTAATGGAACTTTGTGCCTTCGAAGCCTTTCATTTGATGTAGTAGCACGTGAATCTTTTTGGCAAACAAGAAATGAGTTCTCGAAAATTTAGATTTTGACTACGAGTAGAATTGAATAGTTTTTGCAGTTGTCAAGTATCAGACGGCATTGCTGAGCTCTGGACTTTTCCAGAAACTGAAAAAATGGTAGATTTGCTCCTCTCTGACCCTTTCTTTTGAGTCGGTCGTGATCTGTTGTTTTCTCTTTGATTCTGGACTGCTTGTCTTGTCGTCGGCCTAAGCTTACAGTGACTGCATCTTTGAAGTCCAGATCTGAGGAATGCATGGTATGAAGCACACATATTGCTAGCCGATTGATCACCGCGTCGAATTGCGAAGACTCCATATATGATAGGGTTGCAGATAGAATTGAAAAACACCATGTTTTTCACTGTTATCCAAACATAAGAGGGAAACTGGGTATGGAACCAGCAGTCCATGAAAGCGGCCAGGAAGTATGCCCCCCAGCAGAGGAAGTAGCTTGCTATGACACATATCGTCATCAAGGTTGTTTTTCTACATTCAAACAAGTCAAATCAAATTATCAGTGCCACATTTTTAGCATTATCAGTTTTTTTTTGCTTAATTAGCAAATGAAATCCATTTTTGATAAGAAAAGGTCTTCATCAAGAAAAACTTCCTGTTTCAGATTTTGTGAGTAACAGGAAAATTGTTTTATATTAAGTCGGAGGTAAGTGCAGACTTAAAAAAATCGATAACATTATTGACCTGATTTTCTTTGGTCGTCCAACTTGCATGCAATAAAGGCATCATAAAATAAAGGCAAGGTCTTATTTTGTCAACAATTTTGGAATCACAGCTAATTTTTTGATAAAAATATGGCAAAAAGCCATTTTTGGGTAAGGCTAGGGATGAGGGAAATAAAAACGCGCTTTTCCGCCGCGTGCTCTCCCAGATAATTAGTAGATATAGTCGAATTCGCCTTAGAAAAACTTTGGAATGGGTCAAGGCCAGACCAAAACAGGAGTGGTTAAGTAGTTCCAAAGTGGAGCACTGTGACAAGAAAAGGGGCATTGTTTAGTAGATCCGTTCAATACTTGCAAACATACCTAACTTCCGAAATTACTGGAATTTTGTTTTTATCATTGTAACGCTGCGCTCTCCGAAGAGTTGAGATTCTCTAAGTGGGAAGCAGTGCATCAACATAACACGTTTTTTGGGAGTAGTAACATTTAGAAAAATAAGGCACAGCTTTTATAGCTGGAGGTATTGCAATATTCTTCAATTCAAAAACACCTGGTGCTTTTTTGTAGAATATTTTGATAAATTATATTGTTGAAGGTTAAATGAATTTAAGTTTGAAGCAGTTGCTATTTTGATCAACAAAAATCAGGAGCTTGTTACTAGAAATCATGTTTTTGCTGGTATTTGTTCTAATATATCATATGTGTCAAAATGTTCTCTATTTATAAATATGATAAAAAATGAACTGATCAAATTGATGTTGTGTCTCTATTTAATCAACTGCTGCATTCTGAACAAGGCCGTGCAGAATGCTACAGTTGATTAAACTCGAGGCGAGACATGATAACAACTTCACTCGTGATAACAACTAGTCTAGAGGCCAAATATAACTTTAGAACTAAGAGGCCAAATATAAATTTAGGCGATTTCACCATAACTTTGAGAAGTGATTTGGTTCAAGTTATAGTCGACCCTCGGCCAGTATCCGCAAAAAGTTACAAGTTGGCAATGCGTGTTTTTAGTTATATTCAACAAGTTTTCGGACAGTCGTCCTTTGAAACCCGACTTTAGAGTAGAAACTTCTAGAGGTAATGCAAGTTGTATTGATACAAATTCTTTGACCATGGATACAAACTGGATACAAAAAATACGCAAAAAAATAATTCGCTTCTACAATGTATAAATTAAAAAAAAAACTTCATATCACTTCCCTTAGCATAAAATTTCATAAATTAATTATCAAATCATTGATTTTGATTTCACTTGCAAGAGCAAGTGTCTTTTAATCGGGAACTAGACTTTTCAGTAATTCGAATCTGTAGCTCTAGTTCGAATCGCGGCTGAATTGCCGGATTGTCGTTTATCTGATTGTTTTTCCATCGGTTGAATTTCTAAATCATGATTTTTAAAAAATAATTTTAATACCTTTTTGTGATAGTAGAAAAAATGTTCTATAATTTAAATTTAGACCCCTCTGTTTTTGAAAAAACACTTAAAAAATTTTGTTTTTCGCTGAATGGCTTCAGTTTATTACAATAGTTTAGGTGACTGATTCTCTGTCGTTTGAAAAGAAAAATTGGATCTTGTTAACGATTTCCCCCGATTTCGTTACAAGGTACGATAAGGGGGGGGGGGGGGGGGGCTGCTGATACGTTTCAAAAGGGTGCGGTGTAAAAACTTCCTCGAGCTTTGGAATTTAATCGAGACAAAATTTTATAATTTTTGTACAATTAAAATTTTCAACATTTTTGTCAACATAAATTTATCCTAATTCCGTGCCACGAGAATTTAATCAAATTGCAATGGCGATAACTTGCAGCTAATTTTTATCCTTCTAGACCTTGTTTCGTTTGCATTTTTATCTTGATCTCAAATTAAAACAAGACTGCTTGTATCAAGGCGAATGTTCCAACTGCAAGGCGAATGTTCCATAACATGAGAACACAAAATGTGAAAAAATAAAATTTTGAAAAAAATTTTAAATGAGACTTTTTTTTGTGAAAATCATCCCCCACACGCCATATAAAGTACAAAGAGATAAAATTTGCTCCTACTAACAAATAAATTACGGCAAATAAGCTTCCTTCAACCAATTTGGAACGATTTCTAAGACGGATTAAATCTCCGCTGATGCGTTAATAGCGCGAAAAATATCGCGCGTTAATTGTCCCAAATTGGCCAGAATGACAAACTTTAAACCCCAATAATTTTACAAAAAAAATCACAGGTAAAATATCTTTTCATTTTAAAGCTCAGGACTAATACTTTTTGAATGATATAAGAAAGTTCCGTCAAAAATGGCTAGATAAAAAGTGGAAATTAGTCAGAATAAAAAAGAACCCACCCGAGCACAAAGATTCCGTTACTTTCGTTACGAAAGTCGGAACAACAATAAAGTTGTCGACTACTTTTATCTAATCTTTTTGCATGATGCTGGTTGAGTATTGAGGAAAGCGGCTTGCTGTTTTAGCTTTTGATAAAAATATAGAAAATAGACAAGGAATAATGTAATTGTTAGCGTTTCTTAGATGTTATTGAAGAGAAACCAAATTATTTGAAGCTTTTAGGCTATTCAAAATTTGTTCTAAGCTGAAAAAGGTTCCTCTTTTTCAACTTTTAACTAAAACCAAACAGTGAACAAGGATAGCCGGTTGCTGTGCAAGTAGCACAATATAATGCGACCACATTTTTGAAATCAAATTGAGTCGTCTTTTGTTTTTGGTGATGGAAGAGTTAAAATTAAGATCTAAAAACTCGATGCTAAAAATAGGGACATTTTACAAAAGTTTTTTTTACATAAAAATACATAAAATTTGAAAAAATTGCAAAAAAAAATTGAAGTTGTTTCAAACTTATTTTGCAGATTTATTTTTTGTTTTTAAACTTTTTTTCCCAAAAAGGTGCCTAAGAGTTCTCATTGACTGATTTCAATAAATTAAAACTAGGTAATAGGTACTTATAAAGCTTAAAACAATCTATTATAAGCCTATTACAAGCCCTTGCTTTATTCGCTTGAAAATAACCAAAAAGTTCAAACCGGTTTTTCTCAACACTGGGAATATTTTTCAGTAAAGATGGGGTATATTAGAATGTTGTCCAGATTCATATAGGCAAAGCGATTTAAGTTTTACCATGAAACTGATTACACGTTGGACATATCGAACCGCGGCCTTTTTTTGTTGCTAGCATTGGAAAAATATGAGCCCTATTATTATATGCAGGATAAATTAAACAGCGTTTTATAAACAATTACCTTGGCATAAATCTTACGCATTTGAGAGCTTATACTTTTCTTAGTATTTCCATTAACTTAAAAAACCTACTTGCGGGCGGCGAGTAGTTTCTTGTGACTGTTCACGAATGTCTGGTTGATGTCAATCTGCTGGCCGTAATTCCTGGCCTTTTGGGAGAGTTTGCGTATGATTTTGGAATAGCAGAAGATTGAGAGGGTGAGGGGGGTGACGAATATGAGGGTTATGATCAGAGAAAGATACACTCTGAATCGCCAGCTGGAAATCCACCCAGGGGGCACATTACACATCCCGCTCTCAGGGTCCACCTTTATCATGAAACAAATTTGTTAATTAACCCCCCTTAGTCTGTGGCTGAATAATCTGTGCCATATTGGCTAAAATGTCTCACTTTCAAAGTGGCCACATTGTCTTTGGACGAATTGTCTTTGAACTATTTTTTTTCTCGTTGTTTTTGGAAACTTCTGTAATTCAGAAAAGCTAAAATCAGTGAACGCAATTTTATCTAATGCTAACAAGGTTTCGTTCTAAAGCAAAGTTTCAACTTCAAGAAATGCTGTCTCAGCTTTTACGGAAAAATTGAGCAGACAAACTGACAAGAAAAATATATAAGAGTTGAGTAATGAGGGGGGAGGGGGGATAGCTTAATTATAATTTGTGTAAGCAATCGAGCAAACGACCGTCCCTTTTAGCGCACAAACTTCGAGTTCAAAAAACTAAATTCTTTTATTTTGAAGTTACCTGCATGCAATTGACACGGGATGTTTCAAATCTAAGATTTTCAAACCCAGGAGTTTTGAAAAACGGATTGTTTGAAGATGACAGTATTTTAAATGGTTTTACAGTATATTTGAAATACTGAAGTATTAAACATAGCGCTGACTTTTTTTAGCAGTGTTTAATTCTTTACAGTACATCAATGACACTAGAACACCGTAAAACCAACGTTAAACATACAATAAAACTAACGCTGGGAATTTCGAATCAACGCTAGGTTTGTATCTAGACCTATTTTTCGAATCTAGACCTTTTGAATCTATGGCTTATGAGTAGGACTTTGCGGATATTGTTTTCGAATCCAGTTTGTCAGCTAATTTTTTAAACTAGGACTTTAGAATCCCGGGTTGACCTCCATAGACCAAAAATTCTAGTCATACAATTCCATAAACTAAGTCTATGAAAAAATACTAATCATACAAACTTCATACATTTTGCTAAAATGGTGTCATTGAATTTTCGAACAACTTTTCTTTTGTTTTGGCATAAAATTCGGTGTATCGTACTAAATAAAAAACAAAAACCTTATGTCAAAAAAATGCTAATCATACTATTTCCATACATGGAAAATGTATGACTAGCATTTTTTTGATGCGACGACAAAAAATTTTTAAAAAGTATCTATGAAATTGCTTCCAAAATTTTTTTTGTGTTTATTTTCAACCGCAAATTGATTTTTGTACTCAGACAAACATTTTTGAAAAAAAAATTTTGCATGCAAAATTTAATTTTTTGTGTGTATAACGTAGTCCTGGATATACTAATATTGGATTTTTTTCCTTTTCTCTCCATAACTTTTGTCAAAAACGCTTGAAACTCATCTTTCTTTTTGTATGCCATGTTTTTGTATGCCTTGATCAATATCTGGTAATTTAAAAACTCAAATTTTAGAAATAATCATCTTTGAAATTTTTTGCCAAATTTAAAAGTTCGTTACTTTCGTTAGATTATTTGTGTGAGACAGAGTTAAAACATTTCAGGTTATTTCCAATGCATTTTTATTGCGCGACGGCCAAACCTTTGTGTAACCAAGGTTGATGTCATTTATGTTCGGTTACGAACACAACCAAAAAAGTTTGAGAAATTAAATTGTAAAAAATCAATATTTTTTGGTCTATGGAAAAATGCTAGTCATACAATTTCCATATATGAAAAAAAAACTAATCATAGACCTTTCATGCAATTTTCTGTACTTATGGAATTGCATGAAAAGTCTATGACTTGCATTTTTTCATATATGAAAATTGTATGACAAGCGTTTTTGGTCAACCCGGGATCTGGGACTGTCCAATACGAATCTAGTTTGAATACGCGCAGACGACTAACACGGGCTGTTAGTTTCGAATCTAAGACTTTCAAATCTAGGACTCTCGAATATAGGACTTTCGAATCTAGGATAATCGAATCAAGGGCTGTAAGGACTTTTCGAATCTAGTTTCGAATCTAGTTTCGAATCTAAGCCGACGGGACTTCGGGCCAAAATTTAAGTTTTTACACTTTTCAAAGTTACAACAAACTGTAAAACGAATGTTAAAAGCTTGCAAAACCAATAAAAACACAGAGGCGATTGACAAACAGGATGTTTGTTTCGAAGTTAGGACTTTCAAACCTAGAACTCTAAAAGCTAGAGTCTAATTTCGAATCAATTTTCCAACGTAGTTTTCGAATCTAGTTTCAAATTTTGTTTCGAATCTCAGCCGAAAAGATTTGAAGCTAAAATTTAAGCTTTTATAAAATTTCAAAGATTAAAACTCATGATTAGAAGATTGGTTCGTAAATTTATCCAAACCTATTCCTTACTTATCGTGATTTAAAGCCATGCTTTGTTTGGGAAGCTTCGTTTGGTGCTGTTTAGTCCTAGATTCGAAACTAACAGCCCGTGTCTGTTGTCGGCGTGTAACTTTGAAATATAACAGTTAAATTTTTTGAACTCGAAGTTTACGGGCTAAAAGGGACAGTGGTTTGCACGGTTCTTAAAAAAATTATACTTAAAATGCCCTCATCACTCAGCTCGTATACATTTTTCTTGTCTGCTCATTTTTTCCGTAAGATCTGAAACAGAATGTTCTTTGAAGTGGAAACGTAAGAGAATTCGGTATAGTAAGAAACCTTGTTAGCTCTAGATACAAAAACATTCACTGATTTTCGGTTTTTCAGAACATTTTCGTTTTCTTGGGATACCCGATTCTGATCGACGATGTTAGTTTGAGTTTTAGCTGAACTCCTGCAGTGTTTAGCAAAATGTCCTTTCCGTCCACACGTATTGCAGTTTCTATCTCTAGCCGGGCATGTGGATAGGTGTCCTTTTTTGAATTGCTGGCCGCAATTACGGCACTTGTTATTTTCGACTATGTTTAATGTTGGTTCGTTCTTCACATATTGTGATCTTGGTCCTGGGTTGTAAGTTGGGAATTTTAGGTACTGTTGATGGATTTTAGTACCTTTTTCGTGAACTAGTACATAAGATAGTACATTTTCTGGGGTCAAGTATTCAATGCATAGTTTCTTTTGGATCTCGACATTTCTCATGTTGGTTATGAAAATATCTCTTACTAGTTCTGACTCGAGTTCCCCCAGTTTACAATTTTTTGCTAGTTCTGAAAGAATTTCATGGAATTTTTCTAAGGACTCATGTTCTTTCTGTCTTCGGCCGAAGAATTTGAATCTTTCGTATGTTAGGTTTGTAGTGATCGTGAAGGTCGTTTTTAATAGTTCCCAAAATTCTGCGAAATTGATATCCAGTATTTTTTTTCCAGGGTTTTTATGAGAGAAGCATTTCTGTCCTTCTTTCCCGAGTGCTAGGTATAGCTGAGATTTGAGCTTCTTGTCAATATCTCCTATTTGAAGTCCGTTGAATTTGGCGTTATCTTCCGCCCTTCTCCTTCTTACTTCTTCGTTGTAATTTTGTACTGCTACTCTATGACGTTCCTCTTGTTCGGCCCGACGGGTCTGATCCTCGGATGTGTCCAATGGTTCTGCCATAGGGTAAATTAGTTCATCTCTTATCGGTGGGTTAATTACATCTTCGATGTCTACGGAATCTTTCGCAATAATTGTCAGTTGGAATTTTTCCGCCCACCTTTCCCAGTCATGTTGATTTTCATTTGATGAGTTGTTCCAGAAAAACTCTAATCCGCGTAGGTTTGATTCATTCGACTGCGCCATGTTAAAAAATTAGGATACCACTCGTGTTGTAAAAGAGTGACTTAATCTAGGAATAGATTAAGACTGTAGATGATTAAGATTCCTACTAAAATTGTAGGCTTTTATTTAAAACTAAATAAAAGACGGGGATTCTAACTAAGATAAAATACGTGTTAAAAGATTGAATTGGTTACGTTGGTTTTGTTGCGTATCATCAAAGATAGTGTCCAATTCAGAGTCTACCAAAAGCCGATGCGCTTTTGGCAGGTATTAAATTAACAACTAAAGGTCGGCGGTAAGTTAAGATCAGAGGTTAAATAGACAAACCATAATACTTTTACACACAGAAGTATTTTTTTTTGCTCATTGTGACAGGATTTATTTTTACGTTTTCAAAAATCATGATAGCCTGCGCTCAAATAAAATGTGCTTCACCTGCGATCTTTTTTCAAAATAATCAATTTGATCATTTTGGGATAGTTGACACGCAGTACATTTAAATCATTCGGAATCAGTTTTGGCCTGACTTTGAAGTTACCTTGCTAGATAAAAAATAAATAATGAGAGAAAAATTGACGCATTTCTTGGGAGTTATTAGATAAATAATATGGATTTTTTTGTTGCCACTGAGGGTCAGTCGAAATTTTTAGAGCTTTACAATTTTTTAGCTTTGATTCAACCTTTGTATCACTATTTTGTTGCAATGCGTACATCGTTTCCATGCTGATGATCTCTGGTGATTAATAACCCAATTGAATTTTTTCAATCTCACATGTTAGCAGCGCTTTGGTTTTCTCTAAAGTTTTATTGGTGCTTCTAAGCTAAGTGAGGTATTTTCTACAGACCAAAAGTGAATCTACAAAATTTTGCTGGAAAAATTAATTCTAATATTTTTGTTGGAATTTTGGTGACTTATGAAGTTTATACATAATCAACAAAATTTCAAATTTTCATGAAAAAAAAATTTGCTCTTGAAAAGTGTACAGTATTATCATTCAAAAAATTATGATTTATATGAATAAATTTTTCGGGTCTCTTTTTATTGGGTAATTTTTACCCAAATTTTAGAGAATGAACGGGTCTTTTTACTTGACCAGTCCCAAAATTCCGTTGAGACTTCATACATTTGCCGGGTCGTTTTACGTATTTTCCTAAAATTTCTGCCTAATTTTTTTTTCCAATCCGGCGTCTTTTTCTTAATTTCCCAAAACGGAAAATTTTGAAATATAATTAGATAAATGAGACTTATCCTTGAGACTGAAAAGTTGAAATTAGAAAATTATTTTTGCATAGATGTAGTCTGCTTTTTATTTAAAATTGTCGTGTTGGCTTTTAGTTTTACTGTGGTGTTTGTTATACTTTTAGGGTTATACGTCTAACAATCATAACGACAACAACAAAAAATTGACAAAAATAACAGGGATAGCCGTTTGCTGTGCAAGTGTGACAGATGATCTGGAAAAAGTCTAAATCTTCAATAGTTATCATACATTTCCATTGTAGACTGTAATTTGATGTTTCCTTCAAATTTTTACCTTGATTGCTGGTGGTGCCTGAATTTCCGTTGAAAACCAACAGAACAAAAAGCTGAAAAAACATCCAGAGACAAATTTCTAGTAACTTTATTGATAGAAACAATGATAAAAATTCCATCAAAAGAAACCTTATATGAAAATGATGATCAAAATAATTTAAAAAATCAATTAAAAAATTAGAATCATAAAAAAATTTGAAATTATCATTAACTACTGATATTGCAACCGAGTGTTAGGTAAAATATTGCAACCGAGTGTTAGGAATATTGCAACTGAATTTTATTGCAACCGATAAGCGTAATATTGCAATCGGGTGTCCCCCTCAACATCTTTGTTCAAAAAATGATCAAAATAGAAAAAATTTAGAATTGGTAAAAAACTATTGTACCAGCCAAATCCATCATAAAACGCTTATACGGGTTCGTGATTGCTGTGTAGGTGGCTGATGCAAGTTCTTGTAATGTGATTTTTTTGCATAAAACTTTCAGATTACTATCAATTTAATAGGTTTCGGCTTTGTTTTTTTTTGTTTTTCTTACCCTATGTTTTTCTATTAGTTTCTAGTCAGTATTTTAATTGCAGTAGGTTAATATTGCCAGTGACTGTGCGATAGTTTAAAATCAGTTTCTCCGAAAATCTTTTGAAAAATAAATTTGCAAAGACTCTTTTTCCCTTAAAATGTTGCTTGTTTTTTGTTTTTACCGGAGTGAAACTATTCTCACTTTCTCACTTATAAGTTTGTTCAAAAGTATTCTCACTGATTTTGAATGACTTGCTGTGTTTAACATAGATTTTCTGTCAAAAAATAATTAAAGTCATGACTTTGTGCAAATCCTTTTGTTAATTTATTGATAATTTTCGTCAAATGGTTTTTTATTAGCTTATATACTTTGTATCTTATACCTCTTGCAACAAAAACAATTTTACGAAAAAGATTCGGGTTTGAAAAATCTTAAGTGCCATCAGATCAGACAAGTTTTTTACTTTTTTCTTTTTTAAATAACTTTTTTTTTTCTAATTCAGTTTTTAACTGATGCTGTGCGGTTAGCTCTATGTAAACTGCTTAGAAGTGTAAAGTATGAACTGTAAAAACTGATGGCTTTCGGTTAGCTCTGCTATTCTCTGTTTATTTTGGCCTTCCTTTATTTTTGCACTGCTTGGCCTCCTTTTAAGAAAAATAATAAGATTTTTTTTTCAAAAATAGTAAAAGCAATATCAAAAAAACTATTCCAGGGATTACCTCCATAAACTGAAAAAGCTTGTCCTACAATTACATACACCGAACATGCTGCTTATCATACATTTCCATCCATCAAATGTATGGAAAAACGCTAATCATACACTGTTCATACAGTTTCAAAAAATCATTGAAAAGAGATTCGAACTAGTTTCTGCGGCTATTTGAACCAAATAAAACAGTCTGGTGATGAACAAAACTAAGTTTCTGTTTTTGGCAAAAAAAAATGCTTCTCAAACAATTTCCATAGATGAAAATTGTATAATAAACGCTTTTTCATAAATGTCAAGTCTTTCAAAAACCTTCAAATAGTTGTTTGTCATCAAAATTAAATTAATTAAGAGCGCTTTTGCTCAACTTAGAGCACCTTGCTCATCAAAAACAAAAATTTAGTTTGGAGCTAAAACATGTTTATCATACAATTTTCATTTTCTGTTTTCTCGAACGTGTAACACTTTGTTTTTATAGGAAATGAAATTATGTTGATGACAAAACTTGCAGAAACTTGAGGATGATCACAATGCAATGACAGAACTGTAGTGTTTATGCTTGGAGAATGTGCCCCATCAGAAAACAGGTTTTTTTTACGTTTGAGACAACTCCACCCCATGGTTGTGGTTCTTCTAGGAGTAGGCTTAGGAAATAGTTGCTCTCTCAGATAATGAAGAGTCTGTAGAGTCCAACCTCATAAACCCTCTGATTTTTCCCAGGTTTTCTTCTCTGTTCAGAGATTGCACGTCTGATGGGTTAGGCTTAAACGCTAATTAAGCCTCAATTGAGTTTTCAAAAAAAGCTTATCATACAATTTCCATGTATGAAAAAATGCTTATCATACAATTTCCATACATGAAAAAATGCTTATCTTAGAGTTTTCTGAGATTTTCCTGTATCTATGGATTTGTACGAAAGTGTATGACAAGCATTTTTCCATATATGATTATTTGGTCAACCCGGGTTAATAATATTAATCGTAATGTCTTAGATTTTCCTCGAGGGGGCTGGAACGGATTTTGGACTTTCGCCAGGAGGCTCGGGTGAATTTCAATGAAAATTTTGTTGTCGTTGTTTTCTTATGTCAACCGAATGGCGCTTTTTTCGGTCGGCGCTACCTCCCACTCAAAATTATAATATATTGGGGTAAGAAGCATCCAATCCCCCTCTCCTCAATCTTCCCCAGGTTATAACAATTGTTACAAAACTTATTAATTACGTTTCTTGAAAGATTCTCTCAAGATTTTTGTTCTTCTATTCAGTAGCATAAAATGAAAAATAAAACATTTTTCAAGATATGAATTGTTCTTTATTGTTACTCAGAAAATTGTGAGTGTTTCTTGCTTCTGATGAGATATCACCATGACGTAAAGATTTAGCTGCGATCTGCGATGCACCCTTATGGTACATAAGGGCCGAATTATCTGCTATGGGGGTGTTAACTCGGCGGTTCAAATTAACTACCTGAGCAGTGACAAACTGGGGCACGGAGAGCATGACTGCAAATATCCATGATAGAATGGTCTGTTTATGCACGTAGTTTCTCGACAGGTAGAAACTCAAGGGTTTCACTATGGCGAAGTAGCGATCCAAGGTCATGCTGACCACAAGGAACCCAGTGGCACTTGGTGCAGCAACTTCAATGAATTTCCCCAGCTGAAACAACCATACATGACAAAAAGGGGTGGGAATAAATGCATTACAATTGCTAATTCGTAACAGGCGACAATTCGTTATTTTATTGGAGACAAAAGTTCATAACACGCCGCAAATCATCGTTTTTATTTTTAAATTTTTGAAAAAAAAATACATTAAACTTTAAATTTAAGTTTTAATTGAACACAATTAAAAATTCAAGTAACATAAGCCAATCCGCCAGCAATTTTCAGTCTTGCGAGTTGAATTTCGGCTCATTTTTGGATGGTTTTTTATTTGCGGCCATGTTGATTGTTTATGCTGGCAATCGCTTTATGGAAAGTCGTCAAAAACAAGTTTTGATGACGCTTAAAACATAACTACGCGATATTTTGTCAGACAAAAAATGATTTTCCGGTAAAAGTTGGTAAATCATTAATCAACTGCAGAATTAAATCGAGGCTCTTGCATGAAAAATTTGATACCTTTTAACAAGCCAGTACGCAAAAATTACATGCAACAAACAACATGAAATATACATGCAATAAACAAAAGAGGCGCAATTTTCAAGGTCCCCAACTTCAATTGTGTGCAAAGGTTGGTAGTGTGTACGAATTGTCATCTGCTTCAAGTCTTTGCCAGTTACGATTTTCCGCACCATAAAAAATTGGAGCAAATGAAAACAACACTGCTCGTATCAGGGCGAAGCCCTGAATTCTGCCTTTTAAGGTTTATGGAGCAGTTATAACATAAAAAAACTAAAGTAGTAAAATAAAATGAACAATTTTTTTAAATAAAATTTGAATTTTTTTGATGAAAATTATCCCGCCACACGCCATATTTAGTACACAAGGATAGATTTTGCTCCTTGTAACAAACCAATTATGGCAAATAAGCTTCTTTCAACCAATTTGGAACGATTTCTAAACAGGATTAAATCTCCGCTTACGCGTTAATAGCGCGAAATATATCGCGCGTTAATTGTCGCAAATTGGCCAAAATGTCAATCTTTAAACCCCCATAACTTTACGAAAAAATGATCACAGGTGAATTATTTTTTCAAATTTGAGCTCAGGACAGCAATACTTTTTGAATGATTAAAAAATTCCTTCAAAAATGGCTAGTTGAAAAGTCGAAATTTGTCTGAAGAAAAAAACCCACCCCGAGCACAAATATTCCGTTATTATCGTATCGAAAGCCGGAACATCAACAAGACTGCTCATATCAGCGCAAAGCCTTGATTGATCCGACTGCCATTTCAAATCTATGCAGTCTTCACTAGAGTTGGGTCTAGAAAAAATAAATATATCTAGTGGTCGCTTTAGAAATTGATGTTAAATTAATTAAAGCAAACTTTTTTTCACTTAAAAAAGTTTTCCACCACACTTAACGAAAAGTACAAAGAGATCTAATTTGGCTAATAAGTGTCATCAATTGGATCTTGTCTGAATTATTTGAAGTGTTTCATTTCATTTTGGAACGACTTCTAGTACATTTAAATACCATCGGTTATAGCACGAATCATATCGCACCTTAATTGTCCCATTCTCATAGTCTCATATTTGAAACAGAGGACAAAGTTTGAGTAAATTTCAGCAAAATGGTCGCCACCGTCCTTCGCTTCAATAGAGGATCGTCGGTTTTTTACATATATAGAGAAATTTAAACGAATTTTTTTTCGTTTTGATACAAAAGTAACGCAATATTTGTGCTCGTGGTGGTTTTTTTTTAGACAAAATTCGACTTTTCATTTAGCCTTTTTTAGCAGAATTGTTAAAAATCATTCAATAATTATTGTTGTCTTGAGCTTAAATTCGAAAAGATATTTCACCTGTGATCTTTTTTCGTAAAAATATGGGGCTTAAACATTGCCCTTTTGGCCAATTTGGGACAATCTAACGCGCGATTTAATTCGCGCTATTAATGCGTAAGCGGGGATTTAATCCGTCTTGGAAATTGTTGCAAAATGGTTGAAAAAAGCTAGTTTGCCATAATTGATTTGTTACAAGGAGCAAAATCTATTCTTTGTGTTTTTAATATGGCGTGTGGGGGGATGATTTTCAAAAAGTTTCTTCTCAAGATAAAGATTCTCATTTTTATTACAGCTATTTTTTTTGTTATTACTGCTCTATTAAACTTAAAAGGCAGTCGAAACATTCAGGGATTCGCCCTGATACGAGCAGCCTTGTTTATCATAAACCCTTCTTTTGTTCAGACTTTTGTAACAAAAGTATCGGAATGTTTGTGCTCGGTGTTGGTTTTTTTCTCTTCAGACAAATTGTTACTTTTTAACTAGCCATTTTTTACGGGTTTTTAAAATATCATTCAAAAAGTATTGTTGTTCTGAGCTTAAATTTGAAAAGTTTTTTTTTCACTTGCGGTCAATTTTTTTAAAATCAAGGGGGTTTAAAATTGCTATTTTGTCCAATTTGGGACAATTAACGCATTCACAAAATAAGTCTTAAATATTATTATTTTTTTCATTTTATTTTTATTGCATATAATGTTTCATATTATTACTGCTCCATAGACTTTAAAAGGCAGTCGGAACATCAGGGCTTCGCCCTAATACGAGTAGTCTTGTTGTTTTTTTCTTCATAGCAAATTATTTAGAAGACAATTTTGGAGTAACGTTTCCAAAGAAAAAAAACGCCAAACGTGGGCAATTGATCTCAGCTATCCGATATGAAGGAATCAGCTTTGGGTGTCAAAGACTTTTTTCAGATTTACGATTTCCATTGACTAATTTTATGCAGTCAATTTTCCCAGTCGCGTATAATTCTAGGAAATGAGTTTTTCTCTCGGGAAAGTTTCAGCGGTTCTGCTTCTTTTATTTGAGAATGGTATCACGCCACAGGGTTAATTGTAGCTTTAAGAACCAACGTTTCAAAATTAGGTTAACAAAAAATTCCTTCCAGAAATTTTTGGTAAAGTTGACATACCTCTGCTGAAAACAAAATGAGCAAAAATACTCCATTCTTTCGCGAGAAACTCAGTAAAGGTACTGTTTAAAATATTGCTCAATCTAAAAAACGCCAATTCTTAAATTCAAATAAAATTGTTTCCTTCCTGTGTTGCGCTGGCTTTCTTTACTGTCTTTTTGTTAGTTTTTGACAGCTTTTTGCCGTTTACAAACAGCCGAGCTTAAATAAACAGTGACAACAGTATGATTTTTAGTTAACAAAAATGCACAACTTCAACAAATCCAGTAGCAAAATTTGCAATTTTTTGTAATACAGCTAAGTAGCAAAAAAAATATTTTTCAAATCAAAAACCAGATAAGTTTTTGCTTAATAAAGTAGTGAGCTAATGAGCCTAGTCTTCTTAATTTAACTCTTTGTTAAAGTATTCAATCTACTTGCGATACAAGTTTTTTATTTTATTTTGGGCATTTTTTATAAAAGAGCAGTAGTGTTCGTTTTTTTTTGTCCAACAGATTATATAAATTAAATTAAATTTGTAATTATTTTGTAAATTATATTTGTAAATTAAATATTAGAATTTGCTTTCAAAACCACTGAAAAAAATAACCTTTTAAAAAAACATAACCCTAAAACGCTCCATGATAAATTGTATTTTTGGAATTTGCGTTTGTTTTGTGAATAGTCCTATATTAGCGAAAAAAACGAACATTTCCATTAATAAATAAAATGCTATTTGATTAAAGTGGATTTGAGTTAATTAGGTTTCAACAGCTAAGAAAGATTTTTGCAGAGGGTAAAAATCATTAGTTGGAATTTTTTGCGCAAACTTCTCAAATAAATTGAATGAGGGAGGATGAGGGATAAAATGATTGGTTGATTAAATCTGCGAAAAGACTTATCAAAAAACCTTGCCAGGTCCATTTAATTATTAGTTTTTAAATTACGTTGTAAATAGCAGTCATAAATTTAAGGAGGGAAACCCCAGTTTAAGTGGTCAATTTAACAAACGTTAAGTCTCTTTAAAACATTCGCCTTCACTTCACCTCCTTTTTCTACAAGTATTGGGTAATAGCCAACCTTGTAGAGGACTACTTATCGAACGGTCAAGCATACACGAATACTGAGTTTATCAACAGTTTTGGCTCTTTGCAATTTCTGCGTTCTGCTGTGGAGCCTTAAATTCTTTGTTGCTAAGACTACGGGGGAGGGGGTTTAGAAAAGTGGGCAAATTTTATCTTTCTTTGCGTCATGGAGTATTATGTTAAACTTTTTTTTATAAATTTTAAAATTTTTATGTTGACATAAGGCTTCTTTGAGTAAGCTGACCCGGAAAATATCTGAAATAGCTTTGGGAATGAACAAATGGCGATGATCATGTTTTGACCTACTTAACAATGAATTTTAAAATTGAACTAAATTTGGCCAAATGAACAAAAAAAAGATATTTTAACTAATGCGTTCAATTATCAAACTGGGTGGATCAAATTTTGAGTAACTTTTTTAATTGGATCCTCACATTCGAGGCTATAATACCTTTAACCAACGATAAATTCTCTTAATAATCAAGTAACTTTTAACGTCTCATTTTGTTGCAACGAGGAAACTAATCCAACAAATTGCGGAACGGCATACCGTCCCAGGTCAGGACACAAATGGTACCAGTGATAGCGCTTGACATCTCAAATGTCTTAGCTGCATTATTGAACTGAAATGGGCAGGTTGAACATCTATTTAATTGTTTCTAAACATAAAAAGGCATCAGAAAAAGTTTTCGAAACCTTCATAAAAAATAATTTTCAGATAAATCTAGTATCTGTTTCGATAAAATATGTTAGTCTGCTAGTATTTCAGTTATAATCAGACCAGGAACACCACCCCCCCCGTACAATAAAAAATCCTTCATTTATGTTGTAACCAGTGGTTTTATAATGTTGTGCAAGTAAATATAGTACGTTTACATGTCAGAAACCAGTCCATATGTCAAACTTCTTTAAAATGAAACAAATTTTTTGATGGCAAAAGAAGCTTACTAGCATTGAAAAGCAAATCTACATTAGCAGTACCGAAAAAAGGGATTTTGTGTTTTAGGCTCTTCAA